ACGTCAAGTGTGTGTAGAGTTGTATCGGTGGTCGATAGAACTTGAGGGAATATTTGTTCTGCCTTTAGCTCCTCGTTGGGTTCGACACTCTTATTTATCAAAGAAGGCTACAAACGACCCCATATACTTGTGGGTTATCATAGCCCCTGAGACTATGTTCGGTTTTGGACAAAGCTGAACAAAGGATCAAATGAATATCTCAGAAGGTGACATACATATCTATTAAATATACGGGCTTCCCTGTTGGCGGCGACCGCTCAGGCCGCTGAAGTTTCCGAGCTCAAACGAAAACTGAAACTGGCTGATGATGACCTCAACCGTATTAACAAACGGTTCGATGAGGCACAAGGTACATACTTGTACGATTGAAATATATTCGAGGAGTTTTAAGCTAACACACTTGCTTGTGTAAATGATTTGCAGGTAGTGCGACCGAGATTGAGACTCTCAAGGGCGCCTTGTCGCAAGTCCAAGAGCAGGAGCGGGAGAGTAGAGGGGCCGCTGATAAAGCGGTTGCAGATTTAAAGGCTGACCAGGCCACCCTCCGTCGGTATGAGGAGAGGGTGACCGAAGTCGAGCAAGAGCTCAAAGATGCTGCTTGTAAGTGTGGGGCCTTGGAGAAGGATAATAAGGCTCAAGAAGTCGAACTCTCCAAGGCTCTCCAAGAGGCCAGGGAGGCGCACACAGAGTCCCGGGCGGTGCGCGAGGAGATTAAGTAGACTGAGCAGATAGCGGCTGGTAAGCCCTTTCTTTTGCAGAGTAAATTTGGCAGTCAAGAATATGCCCCGCTTACTCGCTTGTGGAGTTCTCCAGATGCGTTTGCGGATCTTCCGGGGAGCGCCGCTAACGCTGCGAAGTTTTTCCGGGCCCAAGAGGGGAACACGACGGAGAAACTCTTCTGGTCGCAGTACCTGGCGCCGGAGCGTCCAGCGCTGTTGAACGACCAGATGATGCAGCTGGCGGAGTTGCATAGGATGTCCAGATTGGCCATGAAGGACATCATAGTCCAGTTATGGCCAGCCGAACCCATACCTGGCAGCTACTTAGGCTTGGTCAGGCGGCTTACCGACGCCCTATCACGAATTGAAGCTGTTAAGAGCTCTCGTGTATTGAGGGTGCCCGGATGTCCTTTGCCCGCGTCAAGATGCATTGGGCAAAGATGAAGGCCACCGTCGTAGCAGTTGGAGGGCCGCCCGAAGGCAAGGACTATCGCAAGTCGGAGCGCTATTTTGAAGATGTCCTAGAAGGAGCCCGTTTAATAGAGGGTTAATGCTCGAAAGATATGATATTTGAATGAATGTATCCGGGCTGTCCAGACTTTATATTATGAAACAAGGCCTTTCTATAATATGCTTGCTTATTTATCTCAAATTATTTTCCTCATGTGCAGCCGTTTATTGTATCTGAAAGTTTGCCAGTCCTCGACTTCAGCCCCCACGCAGACACTATGGGGGTGTTCGGAATAGCATGTGACCACTCTTGTCCCAACGTCTTGGTCCGTAAAGGAGGTGATCGTGCAGCGAACTAGGCAATCAGACTATGGAGCTTTACCACTCTCACTTAGCCATAGGAGTTTGACAATGGGATTATAGGCTTAGCCCCTGGTGTTGTTCGGCTATCCGAACTTGGGTGCTTTAGAATCCTCACCGGGTGAAGGCCAGTCCTTCGTGTAATACGGAAAAAATTGTGAAAAGATTTAATAAGTCACCGAACCACTGACCAGCTCTCGCCATATCATGACAGTCAGTTTTCGGCTTTCTCTACTGAGGTATTTGATCGGACGAGCCGAAAACACAATCGCAGTAGTTCTACCATTACTACCTTAGTCGAACAAGCGGAACGTAAGGTGGTAACCACAGGAGCCGGGCAACCCAACTATTGACCAAAGACATGATTCAGAGCCGATGGATATAATGCGGCATTCGGGACACCGAAGTGTACTATAAAAGTGTTCAGACTTTTTGTTTTTCAATGTTTGTGGCCGAATAAAGCCCCTGGCAATTGACGCCAATGTGTGTATGTCAATCAGTCGTGAAGACGGAAACAGATTATGGAATAGGCCAATACCGAATAAGCTAGAACAAAACTGTTTCTGCTATATTCTGATTGGTATGTCAAACGTGCTCTTATAGAGAATGCCATAATCATCAAGGCTATTTTACATGCCAAGAATTTGGGAACAAGGGAAAGCTATATACAGGTCCTAAAAAAGAAGAGGTGGTCTTGAAGATCCTTTGGACACTCTGCCGCACGTCTACGCCGCTTTTCACCTTGGTGTATGATCCTTTGAGAGGATCAACGGCCGATTATGCATAGGGGACCTGGAAAAGGGCCCTTGGCACCATCGAGAAAGTGATTTGGGTTGTAAAGAACCTAAAAATAAAAATAAGAAGAAAAGGGGGAGAATATGAGGGTCCAAATAGGGTTGAGCCGTATTATGGACTTTTGTTTATAGTGTGCCTCCGTCCTTACCCATGGTATTTTTAGTGCGTAGTTGTGTACGCGCGGTACATATGATGCGATTAGGTTGGGGTTTTGACAGAGGACGAATTGCTAATCTAGCTCTAGATGAGTCGGACTGTCATTCTGCAGGGTGGACCGGACTCGCTTGACGGTGTCCGGGGGCTTGACTGCCGATGTAGTATTCGGCTTGATAAGGCCACCCTGTACTTCAGCTGCGAGGGCCGCGGTATGCTCCTCGGTATGGAGGGAGCGCTCCATGTTTCCATTGACTATTATAACGCCGTGTGGTCCAGGCATCTTGAGCTTCAGATATGCGTAGTGCGGGACTGCATTGAAACGGGGGAAAGCGGTTCGTCTGAGCAGTGCATGGTAACCACTGCGGAAGGGGACGACGTCGAAGATTTAATCTTCGCTTCGCAAGTTATCCGGTGAGACAAAGACTACCTCCTGCGTATTGACCCCGTGCAGTAGGCCTCTACACCGGGTATTACTCCCTTAAAGGTGGTTTTGATGGGCTTGATCCTTGAGGGATCGATACCCATTTTACGGACAGTGTCTTGATAAAGCAGGTTAAGACTGCTGCCTCCGTCCATAAGGACTCGCGTGAGATGGAATCCGTCGATAATAGGGTCGAGGAACAGTGTTGCCGAACCTCTTGACGAATACTGGTCAGATGGTATCTGTAGTCAAAAGTGATCGGGCAAGCCAACCATGGGATTGAATTTTGGGGTGACTAGCTCTATGGCGTAAATGTCCCTTAGTGCGTTCTTGCACTCCCGCCTGGGGATATGAGTGACATAGATCATATTCACTGTTTTTATCTCGAGGGGAAATTTCTTTTGCCCCCTGTGTTTGTTGGGTGAGGCTCATCATCATCCTCGCTAGGCGGACCTTTCCCCTTATGTTCGGTGTTTATCTTACAGGCCTGTTTGAAGACCCAACAATTTCTGTTGGTATGATTGGCAGGCTTATCTGGGGTGCCGTGGATCTAGCAAGGCCGATCTAGTATTCGGTCCAAACTAGATGGACCATCCTTGTTTCCTTTGAATAGCTTCTTCCGCTGACCGGGTTTAGAGCCACTGAATCTGGCGTTGACCGCCATGTCTTTGGTATCTTCATTGTTGCTTCGACGCTTGTGTTTGTTGCGTCGTGGCCTGTCGTTGCCATCTCTGGCTTCGGAGATGCCAGGGTCGCTGGTGTTGTTGCTTCTACGAGCTAGCCAGCTATCTTCTCCCACGTAAAAGCGGGTCATAAGTGCGGTGAGGGCTGCCATAGACTTTGGTTTTTCTTAGCCGAGGTGTCGGGAAAGCCACTCGTCATGGACGTTGTGTTTAAAGGCCGTGAGGGCTTCGGCATCCGGACAATCGACAATTTGGTTCTTTTTAATTAAGAACCTGGTCCGGAGTTTCCGGGCTGACTCTCCGGGTTGCTGGACTATGTGACTGAGGTCATCAGCGTCCGGAGGCCGGACATAGGTACCTTGGAAGTTGTCTCTAAAGGCATCCTCCAGGTCTTCCTAGCTACCAATAGATTTCTCTGGGAGGCTGTTTAGCCAATGTCGTGCTGGTCCTTTCAGTTTCAAGGGAAGGTATTTGATGGCGTGGAGATCGTCACCGCGGGCCATGTGGATATGGAGAAGGAAATCTTCAATCCATACCGCGGGATCTGTCGCGCCGTTGTATGATTCAATGTTTACGGGTTTAAACCCTTCTGGGAACTAGTGATGCATTAACTCGTCGGTAAAGCATAAGGGGTGTGCGGCGCCTCTATATTGGGCGATGTCACGACGAAGTTCGGATGACATCCGTATGCGGTTTTCGGCCCTGGTGAGGTTATGCCTGTCAGGCCAAGCTTGACGGCCATCTTCTCGCGTTGGGGCGCGTCCCTTTGATCCATAGATTGATCTTGTTTGGCCTACTCTATTACTCAGGTCTTGTCGTAGGTCGTAGGTGTATCCTGGAGCCGCTATCTCTCTGCCCTTACGGCGAGGTGGTGCGGGTTGGTGTTCGGCGTAGGTGGCCGCTTTATCTCGCCCACGCAGTGGCCGGTCTAGTTCATCAACGTGCTCATGTTTCGATTGTTGGCTCGAAGGCCTCCTTGTAGAATTGTGGCAGTAGCCGACGCTTCGGATAGCTCTTTGTTAGGCGTTGTAGGCCATATTCTTCGGCAGCTAGGACCTGTGTCCATTTGTCGTTGAGCATATCCTGTTCGGCTTGGAGCCATTGCTGCTGCTTTTTTAGGCTTCTTGCAGTGGCTATTAGTTGGCGCTTGAAGCGCTCTTGCTCGAGGGGTTCCTTCGGCATGATGAAATCTCCATTGCCGAGGCTGACATCGTGTTCGGAGAGCGGTAAATAGTTGCTATCCTCCGAGTCCTCGTTCTCGACCGGACCGTCGGGGTTAACTTGCCCCTTCTCCACATCGTCCTATCCGGATGTGGGCTGGACGGGGGCTTCAGGGTCTTTGGCACCCTCCAGAGTGTTATCATCTCCGGTGCCGGTATTACTGTCTTTGCCACGATGCGATTTTGAGCGGCGTCGCTAGCGTCGACGCTTTGGTGGAGCCTCAACAGGTTTCTCCTCAACCGAATCCTTTCTGCCTTCGCCATCATCTTCTTTGGGTGTATCCACCATATACACGTTGTATGTGGAGGTGGCCGTGCAGCGTCCAGTAAACGGCGGGTCTTGGCCTTGTTCGTCTCTGGCATCGTCGTCCACGCCATCGATGTCTTCAGAGGTGTAATCCGGCATGTCGATTAAGTCATCGACAGTGGCTATGAAGTGGGTGGCGGGTGGGACGTAAAATTCCCTGCTCCCAGCCCCTGATTCGGGCTGGGCATAGTTCGGAGGTGATTCCTCAGTAACAGCGAGGGACCGCATTAAGTCTAGAGCCTCATTTAAGGCGAGGATTGGACGGGGAAACGAGAGTCCGCGAGGCCGGCCGGGGCGAAGGCCTCTTGGCCATGCTTGCTTGGCATGAACTTCGAGAGTTCGGGTCTGGAGTCTAGGGGTGAGTCCGGCCTTTCAGTGATAGGAGGAACCCGGTCTGATTCTGAGTTTGCCGTGGACACAATCGCCTCTAGATCTTCAATAGTGTGGTTCGCAGCGGAGAGTCCGGTGGGCTCCAAACTCCAATCTTCGGACCGTGGTTTGCTCCGGATCTAAGGCCAGAGCGGTCGTCGGGGCCACGAATCCTTCGAAGATCAAGTCTCCTCGGATATCGGTGACATAATTTAGGTTCCCAAAATTGATCTGATGACCAGGGACGTAGCTATCAATCTGTTCGAGGTGGCCAATTGAGTTGGCACGCATAATGAAGCCGCCGAACACAAAAATATGGCCGGGGAGGAAAGCTTCCCCGAAAACGGCATCATTTTTGATGATCAAATGAGCCATCGAACCTTCTGTTGACGACACAGTGGAAATCTCAATGAAACCACCAATGTCGGTGTCAAAACCGGCCGATCTCAGGCAGGGGTCCCGAACCGTGCGTCTGAGGATCGAAGGAAACAGCAGACAAGGGTGACGCGATGTTTACCAAGGTTCAGGCCCTCTTAATGGAGGTAAAACCCTACGTCATGCTTGATTGTATTTGATGAGTATAGGGGTTACAAGAGTCGATCTACCTCGAGATCGTAATGGTTAAACCCTAGATGTCTAGCCTATGTGATTTGTCTTAGTCTCTATGGACTAAATCTTTCGGTTTATATATACATCAGAGGGGTCTAGGGTTGTACAGAGTCGGTTTACAGAGAAAGGAAATAATACATCTGAACGCTAGGCTTGCCATCCACGCAAATGAGAATCCCATCCGGACACGGGGAAAGGTCTTGTGCCTTGTATCTTCACGGCCCACCAGTCCGGCCCATATCAAATTGTCCGGACACCGGAGGACCCCT